TTAATTTTTTTAGGCGTTTGTGTAACAATTTTTGGTATTTTGCTATTTTAAAAGTTATTTCAGCGTTTCAGCGTCCCATTTTGAGGTCTTTTTCATGATGTAAAGCCATTTTGTTTGCGTTTTAAAAACTTTTTGGCGTTCAATTTAGGCGAGAAATCGGGGTTTTCCTACCATTTCAGTGCATTTCGTAGTTCCTCATTACTATGGAAAAATAATAAGGTATTCGTTTCCAATACAGTTAAATCTTTGTTTGTTTACTTTGATTATTTGTCGTCAATCAGTGTAGACCGTTTTACAATGGTGCTGCTGCCTTACAATGCTATTTTAAAACATACGTTTTATTTGAAATTGTCAATCAACGTATACTACATACACAAATATCTACGTACTTAGTTTTGTCTACCGAACTCGGCTGTGCAAATCTCTGCAAAAAAAAAAGTTTCATTGAGATCTCAGCAAACATTTAATTTGTTTGCTGAGATTCAGCTAAGTACTATCCGAGACTCAGCAATCAAATGTCACTTTCTCTGAGACCTCAGTGAAACATTTGCCGCCGAGAAATGCACTGCCGAGCTCGGTAGGAAAAAAACTGAGTGTGTAAGAAATAAAAATTGTTTTAAACTTAACGACATGAAAGCCTAGCAGTTAGTATTCTCCTTACTGTATCTTTAGACATAGTTAGATCTATACGCTCACAGTAATTATTATACACTCTTTATCATTCTATTGATTGGTCAATTTTTACCATAATTCGTTCTGTGAGGTGACAGTTAAAATACATTTCGAGCTCTTAACATGCGTGATGGTACGTAAAAATTTAAGCTTGGTAATATTTTTCTGAATTTATGCGTTTAGAGATAATATTAATAACAAAGGAAATCATGGAAATTTGCCTTCGTTTCTTAAATGTTTCAATGTTTATCAACATGCAACGGAACTCATAAGAAGGAAGGGATTCCTAGAGTAGATGTTTAATCTAGAGTGGGGTGTTTTCTGGAATAAGATATAATATTGCATTTCTTAACATTAATATCCAGCACAGTTTCAACGCACCAATTGTAGAAAACCTCAATTTCATTTTGAAAATGTAGCAAATCAGAATTGTTAAAGATTTCCATGTACAGTTTCATATCGTCGGCATATATGAGCACATTTAAGCGATTTAACACAAACTTCACGTCATCCACAAATAAAATAAATAATAAAGGACCTAAATGAGATCCCTGTGGAACTCCCGAGGTAACATTAACTGTCGAGAAAAATTTTCCTTCAAAGCAGACCATCTGTGTTCTTTCTGCCAAATATGATCCAATCCATTTTAAAAGTGTATTTGTCATATCTAAACGTTTTAATTGTAAAATTAGTAAGGGAATGTCTACTCTGTTAAAGGACTTACTAAAGTCAGTGTTTAAAGTTTCAACGGTATTACCTCTAACCATTGTTTCAATAAAAATGTTTACAAATTCCAAAAGATTAGTAGACGTTGACCGACCTTAAAAAAAACCATGTTGATTGTTTGAAATGTGATGCTTAACCTGGTTAAATATTTTCTGGTTAACAATTGCTTCAAATATTCAAGGAATGCATGTTTGTTTTCTAGATTTAAATATTGGGACTAAAAATGATTTCTCCCAGGTTTTTGGAAATCACCTGTTTTGAGAGATAAATTGTAAGGCTAAAACAATGGTTTAACAAAACTAATTGCACCTTTTTTTTTAATAAAAATCGAGGTATTTCATCAAGACCAGGTCCTTTGCCGAGTAATAAAAATTTCTTTAACAGTGATATAATTAGCTGATAGGGTAAATTATGGCTTCGGCACCCATTGACTGTTTTCGGCAACCGAAATTGAAACGTTAATTTCACTGTATTTTCCCATCAAAACTCTTCGCTGAATGTATTAAGCCGATTCCTTACCTTTTCATCTTCAATCTGATTACATTTTTACGACTGTGAATTCCTGTTATACCATATTTTTCATTAAATGAAATATATACTCTACAAAATACGGCTGATTTCGAGTTGCCGATAATAGAACAGCTGGTTAACACGCAGTTCAAATGGAAAGGGTGCCGAAGAAAAAGAGACTGCCGACAATAGTCACACTCACCTGAGAAGTTTGGAGCGTTGTAAAAACATGTTCATCCCGTTTTGATCAATTCTGTCGATTGGAATTGGTACAACAGCAAGCAGCAGATAAATGTCAACAAACAAACCTGTCATGTATGTGTGTGACGCTGAGAAATCGCTAAAAGAAGTTCGGACGCTGCTTAGATTGACGAGAATACGTAAATTCCCCTACGACATTTTCCCCTTCATTTAGGCAAGAAAAATAGTTCAAATCAAGAACATTACTGGATTTCTTATATATGTTTTGGAAAAAGCGAGCAAATTGGTTACAAATTTATATCCTCACTATCAGTGCTATCAAACTCTTCAAACTGCATGCGTGATGGGAATGTTCATGAAGTCATTTTTTCGTTGACGAAGTTAATCACATGAATCCTCATTAAATTCTGATGTTCCATATCTTTGTAAAATTATTCAAATATGCGCCTTCTCAGCAATCAAAATAGGTCTTCTTAGTGAGAAAAACAACCAATGACACTGATATTTGACCATGCATCGGAACCTTGGTCAGAACCTTTCCTTGCTTCCAATCTCAAAACCGAGGTTCATAGCCGTCAACAAGAAGAGATTTGGGCCGGAGTTCGATGTGGTAGATCTTACATCCCGTAACGTACAACGGTGTTCTACCCACGTTACAGGCTTGGACAAGGTTTCAACCAATACACGGAATTCACCACGAATTAGAAGTGAAAACTTGAATATAAGGAAGTTCGTACGGAACAAATAGCATGGAAATCGGAAGTGGTTATCACAATAAAGGGGACTTTTTCCTTCTTGACATAAGCCACGAGCCATTACAAAGAGTTTTTTCAGTTTTTTCAGATTTCTCATCATCCGTTTGCGTATCTTATTCAATGCTCGAATACATTTTATCAGAAAGGGGATCAAGAGATTACCCTTTTCTTTTACGTTTAGGTGCCTTCTTCTTCTTCTTCACATTTCAAGCTTACTGCATATCACATATTAGCGTGCTCTCAACTTAGTGTTCTAGATGCACTTCCACAGTTATTAATTGAGAGCTTTCGATGCCTGTACCATTTTTGCATAATTGTGTGGAAAGTCCAATCATACTTCTATGCCCAGGGAAGTCGAGAAATTTTCCAACCCGAAAAATTCCCAAACGGACCAGGAATCGAACCCAGCCAACTCCAGCATTGTCTTGCTTTGTAGCTGCGCCTTTACCGGCTGAGCTGAGGGAGGCCCCTTGGCGGCAGAATAAAGTATTTCCAAATTCACTTCCAAGCTAATTAGTATAAGTATCCAAATGATCTATGAGGGGTTTTCCATATCGATATCCACGTAGGATTAGCTCGGGTAGAGTCCAAACAAGGATCGAAAAGGAATTAAAATCGAACAAAGTAGAAAATGTGCAGGTAATATTGAGCACTGAGAAGTGCTGTTTAAATGTGTTGTAGTTAAGGTAGCAGTAATTCTTCCTTCGCCAAAAAGCAAACAGATCTGCATGGTAAGAGAGCACTATGCGGACTGGTGACCAGGGATGGAAAATCATTTACATTCATTTGCCTCTAACTTTTTTCGTCAACTGGATACCGTAAAATGATGTATAAAACTTTTGTAGTTTTTAATATTAACTACAACTTTTGTTAAGAACTTAAATCTGAATCTCTTATGCATGACAAAATAGAGCTGGCATAATATGTTATTGTTTTTCAGTGAATGCAATTTACATTCACTGAAAAATAATGGTGGGTTCTTATCACTCTGATTCATCATGCATAAGAGACACATATTTGAGTTGTTTACAAAAGATGTAGCTAATATTAAAGCCTGCAAAAGCTTCAAACACTATTTTACGGAATTCTGTTGATGAAAAAAGTTAGAGGAAAATGAATGTAAATGAATGCACGAAATGAATTTAAATGATTTTCCATCCCTGCTGGTGACTGATTGCTTTCACCTTGATATTGGCCCAGGTCAAACTTCAATCGACCTGTACTTTGTTGAAATTCCGCTGTCATAAATGTATGATACGGGACAACTACAGAAGTCTTATGAGTCTTAATGGGTAAAGCTCAGAAATCCGAGAAATGAAAAGAATGACAGACAACATCATTTAAACATCTCAAAAAGATCTGCTCTATATTTTCCAGAAGCAATTTGCAACGTTGATTAAGTGCGCCCAGTTTGAACAGGTAGCATAGTCTTACTGTAGGATCTCCTTGAATGATCACGATGAAAGAGTCATGCCAAATCATCTTATCGAACATGATTTTGTTTACGCGTCAATGAGACATTGTTGACTGATGAATAGCGAGGACATGTGAAATGAATAGTATTTTATGCAAAGATGGCAGTATTCATTAAAAGTGAAAAGTCTTTAGATGTAAGTGGCTAAAGTCAAGTGTCATGTCCGAAAACAAATATAAATATGAACGGAGAGAACAAATTGAGAAATGAGAAGTGAAAATGTAGAAGTTAAAAATTAGTACGCATAATTAAATAATGATGTGTGATAAGTAGTCTACTGGTAAAAAGTGAATAATTTGCAAGGTAAACCTTCTAATAGCATCAGGAAAAGTTCTTACAGGGGATTGCAAGCTCAAAAAATTCTTTCATGAATTTAGCATTTGTCGCCAGACTCAAAATTTCTTTAAAAAAAAAAACCTTCGCTCAATGTTATAAAATGATGATCATAGAAGTATGGTATGATTGACCTCATGGCCTTCCTCTTCCCCTTTCTCGAATAACCAAAATAATTAGACACTTATTTCTACTCCGGAATACCATATGCCCTTCCGTCCAGCCATCTCAGGGGAGAAACATAAGGAGCTCTTTATTTGATAGCCCTCCCTGGGAGGAAGAGAAGGAGGCGGTGGTGTTGGTCAGAGCAGACCTCACGCTCAACTCACCGTGAACAGGCAGCTTGCCACGCAGACGGCAGCCCACGAGCCAACCCAGTACTTGAGCACGGTTCGCTCGCTCTCGGAGAAGAACATCGAGTTGCACGGTGCACCGCAGTCTTTCGTGACCTAGAAAGTGAGAAGAGAAAGAAGAAAACGACACAAATGAGAACATGAAAATAAAAGTCAAATTTAAATATATATACATATGCAAGTGAGAAAAAACCAGCTCGGTAAGGGGTGTGTATTAATTAAATGGAATGGTTGGATCGAGTTTTTCTGTTTTCAGTTTTTGGCACCGGGCGACATCTGTTGCTTTTGCAACATTACGAATGGGGAACCGTTTTCAAAAATCCAATTTTATGCTCCAGTAACAAGTGTTGTTTCAGTTATGACAGCAGCCGTGTTTCGCAAATTTCTAAAATGGTGAAGTTCACGAGCAGGTTTCCCGAATCAATAGCATTCGGAGCAGTCTCAATTAATTAAAGCTACCATATCGGCCGACCGCACTAGCTGACACCGTGGTCCCGAGCGTGCGGCGTAAATGGATAGCGTCCCCTGAGGGGGTCGTCAATCATTTCGGGGCCTGCACAGAGCCTAAAGTGCGGTAGTGTTCGAACCATTCAGTTCACGCATTGCTGGAGCCCTCCGGGTGACAAATTTCGCTGATGGCTAAAGTAGTCAATTTATCATTTTGGAAGTGCTGTTCGAAAACTTGTTTTATTTTTTCTGCGTGGATTTGCGATAGAGGCTGTCTGAGTGCGATAGAGCAACCTGTCCAACATCCAAATTGACAAGTTGATGTGTGAGTTTGACTGTCACGTTGCTGAGGCAAGTTATAAACAAGGTTTTAGATTGTTGGTTGATGATTTTGAATGCCACTTACAGAAGCTGGGAACCTTCGCAGAAATGTAGAAAAGAATCTATCTGGTCATGAAACTATATGATCATATTTTATTAAATAGTCAGCAAAAAAAACAAACAAGCTCCCTTCAATCGACTCAGTCTCCCTTGCTCAGCCTCTCAAATTTGATTTATTTGCATGCATTAGTACTGAATAAATTATCACTCTACTAGAGCAGCCTAGTTCAGCTAATGGACACTTCCACTCATGTCTGTATGCATGACCATTACGCTTGATTGCTAAACTAACTGGTGTGAAACCGGTCACATTTAGAGAACACCAGATAGGCGTGGGTGGTGGCTTTGGCAGTCGGATGAAGTTATCATCATCTAGATGGAATTGTCGTGTTTTGAGAGAATATGTATTTTTCCTATGGAAGCATCATTCAAAATATATCACCATTGCGCTAAAATTGAAGCCATTCCACTGTTTATGACTCTGACAGATGATGGTGTGCCTCCCAGCCGTCGAGTGTACTGTAGACGACTGTAATTAAATAGAGTGCACTTGCAACGGAGCAAGTACGAGCCCTTCCATCAGTGCCTTAGCTCACTAGTGTCATTAGTAAATTACAGCTCAATACAAAAAAGGTAGACACAGGTACGTATTGAAATAATGTTGTTTTTGTTTTAGCTCCTTTGAAAGTGTTGGAAAATCGATGACCTAGTCCGTCAATTATTGGTTTTACGATGGACTGCTCACTGCCGACCGCAAGATGAGAGTGCTTTGGTACACAAATTTCCTTTTCATTGAACAACGACGACGGCGGTGTGATGGACCAATTACCTCTGCCACAGCTACCAAAGTACCACATTAGCAGTCATAAAACGCAGCACTCTTCCACTCAAAGTCAGTAGTCGCAGTCCGGAAGCCGTGCGGCTTTGTACAGTAGCGGTCGGCATCTGGGCTGGATCATCATCACACCTACCGGATATTTAGCCATCCAACCAACCGACCGACGCTGCAGATTTAAAAGCTTTCTTGGATTGCGTGGCTACTGCCCGATGAAGTAGGGCTGGCTCCGTAAGCTACGATGTATCATTGGCATTATCCCATCATTTACCTAATGCGATTCGGTGGTATCGTTTTTACAAGCGATGGAGCTGCTAATAGCAACAATCTAGTCGGCTGGTGGAAGATTCCCTATGATTCGGACGGTTTCGAGCTTGATTGGAAACATATGCTGCTTTACTTGGAGGAAGTTGCAGTTGTTCGTTACGGTAACATATCAATTATCACTCGAACAGCTTTTTCGAAGGCATAGTAGCAGTGTGGAATGCATTTTTCTGAAGTCAAATCGGTAATCTGTGGTTGTTAAAGATCGTTCATACTTCATTTGCTTAAAAACAATCTAATGACCCTCGTTGTCATGCTAAATGCAGCATACAGAAGCTAGGAGGCATCTGACTCAACTATTGAGAGTAAATCAAGTGAATTAGAGTTTACTTTCGTGGGGTTTGAAATGCTGTCCCCTAGCTTGTTGGGTCGTGGAATGAAATGCTTGTGGCACCATAAGCTTCTATATGTTGTGCATTTATAACAAAATTACACTCAGTTTTGTTTTTACGCGATATTTTTTCGCCTCTATCCTTGATCGTGTGATCTCAAATTGAAATCAAATTTAATGCAACTTTCTAATGGTGTTTTCGATTGGATAAATGGAAAATTCTTGGTGAGGCTTTCTCAGCCTTGACGTTGATACGGCCTCAGTAATACATATGCAGGTCTTTTACATCCATCTGACCAAACACATCATGATAATTTAGTTCAAAATGATTATCGTAACCCACAGCAACAAAGAATGACTGCCTACACGGTAAGAAAAAGTAAGAGGTTGACTCCAAGACACGACCGTAGATTTGACGTAGGATTACGTGCTTGGTATCAATATTCAGCGACTGTGTTAGGAAACCACATTTTGCTGATCACCATTGCAACACTTGAACATTTTTGTAATTTTCAATAGTGACCTATTGAAAATTGATAAAGTGTTAATTTTAACAGATTTGTAGATTTTTTTTTAATCGATTGGCTTGTTTAGAACTAAAATCCATTCGCTATTGACAGAGTTATAAGCGGTTAAAACCTGACCACTTTTCGTAACGCGGACGATTTTATTTTTTTTAAATTGCACCCCAATACTTTGCCAAAAGACGTAATCCTACCTTAAAAAGTACCCAACGGTCAGTTGAATTTTACCTACTTTGACTAGTTTCCTTCCTTTTCGCCATCTAATGTTGTCAAAAACAGAGGAGCAAAACCACCCAACATGGGTAGTTGAACACGTTCTGTTCGGAGATTCCACACTAGCTCATATGGAGACCAGACCACAGATGCATTCTCAAGTATGGGCCGAACTAAAGATCAATATAGTGCCTTCAAGCAGTGAGGGTCTTTGAAATCTCGTGCAATCTTCGAAATAAATCGCAGTTGACGATTCGCCTTAGAGATGATCGAGGAATAGTGAAGATTGAAGGTCAACTTTGGGTCCAAAAGAACACCAAGATCAGTCATACGTTCTACTCTGCGAAGCGTTACATTGTCAATGCAGAAGTCGTAAAGGTTGAACTCTTAGAGCGGTGAAACGTCATCACTGCACACTTTGGGACGTATAGCTTAAGATCATCTGCATAAACGAGCTTGCATTTAACTCCCAACAAAGCTGCTACATCGTTGAATAATAACGTAAACAAAAGTGGACCCAGGTTACTTCCCTGAAGTTCTCCAGAGGTGCTGGTAAACGTAGAAAAGACACAAAATCCTAGTCGTACTCGAAGAGATCGTTCAGTCAAGTAGGAATGTAACCACGACCTTGCATAACAAAACCTTCTGGTCGATTTTGTTGAATGCGGCTTTCAGATCAGTTTATATGACGTCGACTTGTGCCTTATCCTCCATCGCGGTGATGCATGTACTGGTGAAACCCAAAAAGGTTAGTAGCTACCGATCTACCGGGAATAAACCCATGCTGGTCAGTTGAAATGTAGTTCTTCGAGCGATTCAGGACAAATTCGCTCAAGATGATCTCAAACAGTTTGGACGCTGCCGAAAGACTGGTGATACCTCGATAGTTCTTAATATCCCGTTTATTGCCAGCTTTGAAAACAGGAAACATATAGGACTGCTTCCACAATGTTGGGAATTTTCCTGGCTCAAATGATAAATTAAATATGGCTGCTAAAGGTTCTGCTAAGGCAGCTGATTCGCAATTCCATCTGGACCAGGAGAGAGTGAGGTTTTCAGTCTCCTTGCTGCTGAAATTACCATATTCCGTGTTACTTCGAATGTGCTCAGTTCCACTATGTCACTAGGCGTATCAGAGGCAGCAGATTCAGCTTCAACATCACTTGCCATATTTTATAGAAAACAGATGCAAAGTGTTTAGCAAACATCTCATACGCTTCGCTAAGAGAAGTGGACTCCGATTTGAAAATAACCAATCATGAGACCTTAGTGATTAATGTCTTAGACCATGTTAACGATAACGATAATTTTGTAAAATTGAAGTGCTGGAGGAAATATTCGAAACAAGCTGTTTCGAATCTTGTTCCCAGGGGCGTGGATTTTCCATTCGCGGCCGGTAATTTAGATGAATCTACAGCTGTTCTTAATAACGCTTTGAAAACGTGTACCAATCAACTAGTTGAGCAAAAGTTTGTTTCTTTGAAAAACTCGAACAGCTGGTTCAATTTGGATCTTTTGCGTCTTAAACGGAAAAGGGACAAATGGTACAAAAAGTTTTGTAGATCAAATAATGACAATCATTGAAATAGGCACACAATCGAGCGTAATAAGTATTCACAATCGATAAAGAAAACTCTTTGTGAATATGTTCAAAGGTAGATTGATCAGCATCAAAACAACAGCAAAGAGTTATGAACAATTTTGAAATCTTTATTAAAACCTAGTAATTTCAAACCGTGGTCCATTACTTTTAATGGCACATTAGAACAGTCAGAACAAGTAATTGCATCTAAGTTTAATGATTATTTCGTAGACAGTGTTTCATTGATCAATCAATCCATTGAATTGGTCGATGAACCTGACGAAATAAAACAGCCAGTTAAAAGTAGTTGCAGATTTGAAGTTTTTCACGCAATTACATTAGATGAACTTAGAGTTATTTGTTTTTCATTAGGAAAATCGGCTGGAGAAGATAATGTTAATGCTAGAGTTATTCAAGATTGCTTTCATGTCATTGGTCACATCTTTCTGGACCTTATTA